CGACGTTCCAACCATTTTCCCTTTACATCTTGTGCATATGCAGTTGGCGCATTTATTCCGTATGCCTTCTTCTCAAGCATGTTATAATGTAGGTGAGTATGCACGGTAACGAAAATGTGCGTCGCTGCTGAGAAGAAACCGCGAGGGAGAGAGAGAGAGAGAGAGAGAGAGTGAATGAAAAAGAAAAAGAAAATAAATGCAGACATGGTAGACCGCGTGGCAGCCGACTGCTACTCTTTAGCCAATTTATTTATACTCTCCTGCGGTGTGACTTGATCTCTGATTTTGCCCATTGGGTCGCCACCAATGCTTCGCGAGAAGGTATGTGTTATTTTTCATTCAAGTGTTGTAGATTTTTATAAAAGGTGATGTGTGAGAAAGTAAGACTGAAGAAGGGAGACTTTCTCAGTAAGATCATTTCAAGTTTTATCTTTGAAATGTTCCAGGGCAAATAACAGGTCCTAACTTAGTATTTATTTTATTTCATTTTATTTTCACTAACTGGTTCCGTCGCTCATCAACCAGCACGTTCGACACGGAGAGCGCGATGTCTCTCCCACCCGCTGGGCGTATATAATTGCTTAATTAAAAACTACCAAAGCATCATTGGTATTCAGAAAACAGAAGTGAAACTGTATGTATATATTTGGCCTTTAATTCCAACACTAGAATTGTTATCATTAATTTTATCTCAAATGCAAATTTCAATGGAATTTCGTAATGTCGACTTTTTAAATGTACAATACTCTGAATTGGATTGAAATCCATACAATTGCCAAAGCCTCGTCTTCACTGGCTTGGAAGAGTCAAGACTTTTGGACCTTTCGCATCGCCTTTCCTTTCTTTAGCCGTCCGAACGCACAGAGGGAAAGAAAAACAGACAGATTCAATGGTAAGCCTTTCGATCTCTCGTCGACGAGCACTTATCTTGTTTTCAAAAGCTATCTCAGTAAATTTATCGGCTCATCGAAAGCCTGTCCTATCCTTCAAACTCTATATCCTTGGCTTGCGAGTATACCTAACCGATGAACATCTGGCATAAAAGTCTCATTGTCAGTTAAGAATATTCAAATTCCTATATGTTTTTTTGCATCAATACGCAATACATGTTTCGCTTATAGAGAAGAGAGCTAAAAGTGCAGAAAGAGGGGCAGCAGGGAAAAAGTCAGGCTCGTGCAGGCTCTCAAGTAGCAAGAAGTATCCAATTTAAAATGGAAATTACGACGAATATTCGGCCAGGCGAAATGCGACGAAAATATTCGCGAAATTAAAATGTAATTTAATTCGTTGACTGGGCGTAAATGCTCTCCACTTTTTTACAGAATTTTCTCTTTCCCTTCATCTTCGTATTTATTTGTACAATTTTTTGTTGCTGAAGAGTGTGCATACAGTGTGCGGTAGAAATTTATCAAATATCGTGAAACACATTCTCATCAGAGATTAATTATTCGCACATTTTTACTCCTCTCGTGTATATTAGTTTGAGAAATTCCGAGCCAACAGCCGGCGTTTAGTATATATATATAAACAGATATCATCTTTAGAGACATTTGTCATGTTTAGAGGCTCTAGCACGTCATTTCTCGACCCGCTCTTTCATTTGAGCCCAAAAAAACATTCATATC